TTTCATTCGTGAACCATATGAAATGAAGTAACCTCTGAGAGTATTTTTTTCATAGAAGTTTTTTGGTACATACCAGATAAATCTTATTATTATCGGTTAGGTTCTGGATATGTTTTTTTAAACATTTTGAAGTTTTTACAAAATACCGGTTCTTCGGGAAACTTGAAGAATTGTTCTATGGGATTCAGTTCGGTTCTTGGCTCAATACGAGTGTTTTAACATAATCAACATTTTATAGTACCAGCTGTGCATGCATACCGTTTTGCTAATTCGGTAATATCAATTTTTGAAATTAATCGATTTAAGGCTGCAATGAACCAGTTTCTGTTTAAAAATTCCTTAAAAAACATTTTGCTCCGTAATATTATTCTTAACTTGAAATTTTAATTGAACTCAAGTCATCTCTATTTTAAACCATTTTTTTGTCTGCTTAAATGTAAAATTTAATAAAACATAAATTTTAAGTGATGGTAAGTTCAAATTTTGTATCCAACTTTGAATGTGCCTAACTTGGTACTGTTAATAGAATATGATGAAATTTATAGAAAACTTTCATAATTTATCTCTCTCAATCTATATAATTTTTGATTTTTAGAATTGTTAGATTTATAGTTAAAATAAATAGAATCAGTTCAATTGGAACGCAGTATATATATAATTATTTTTTACATTTAAATATTAAAATTAATAAAATAAAATAAAATATGAATTTTATTGATAGATCTACTAAGCGAATTATATCCTTTCCATTTCCATTCATTTATTCATAAAATATTTTTAGACTCAAACGAATTAAAACACCCCGTTTATAACTATGAAATAACAATGCTATCTAAAAATATTAAAACAAATTATGTAAGAGATACTTGGGTGAACTATATTCTTTAAACCAGTACCAAAACCTAAGCCTATAAACGTTAAATCAAAATGGCTTATTAGTATTTTTGTGGTTTTATATAAGATAATTGATAAAGTAATTTTATAAATTTGAAAATTTGTGATATATTTAATTGTTCTATAGCAGTTTGTATTTTTATAAATTAAATTAATTTAATGAAGGTTAATTACCAGTTAAACAGGCATTACAATTTCTTTCATTCAAAACAATTTCTTCATTTTAAAAGAAATTGTTAATTATTTACTGAAAGTGAAATACTATTCTATAGTAAGAGGAAAATAATTCCATTTAAAAAAACCCCTTATATAAACTCCCAAAATATAATTCCCCGCAAATAATTCTGCAGCAGTAAAAATCCCTGAATAATTAATCTCTAGGAAAATAGTTTCTGAAAATAATTTACTAGAAAAATAATTCCACTAGGAAATTATTATGGAAAAAAATCCCCTGGAAATTAGGAAATTTTTTTAGCAACGCTAAACTAATTCTGAAGATTATTTTCACATATTTTGAAGACACCACTTCAAATTTCAATTAAGCATCTAAAACTTATTGACAATTTTCGAAATGCATAAAGAGAGATTCATTTGTAAATAAGGATCTCTAGCTCATATATTGCAAAAATAACTCTGAATCATTCTGTCCTAGGTTAAGATTCAATATGCACTAACTATTTGGAATGGGAATGTTATATTTTACTTGGTCAGCACCAGAACAAGTTGCACTATCATTTCGAGGAAAAAAGTAGATGAAACTGCCGAACTAGCAAATTTAGCTAGAAAGATTCTTTGCATCATAATTAAGTACACTTATAGAAAGCATCTTTTCTATCGCTGGTACTTAACGCCACAAGATAATCTTTAAGTTCTACCTATCTAAAATCATATTTATTTACTATATAGTTAAATTTGATTTTTAATTTATTTATATTTATTTACCTAAATATTTTGTATTCATTAGAAATTTATATGATAATGTTATATAGTATTTATAATAAATTTTATTTTACTAATTACTACAAAATATTATTGATGTGAGTGAGTAAAAATGGGAAATTTATAAATATATATCACAAATCTATTTTCGTATAATTTTAAAGTATATAAATTAGAAAATTTTGTCGGGTATATTATTTCGATCTACCATATAAATTGTCTCTATTCTAGTTATTAAATTATTTTCCATAGAGTCCTCTGTTAAGTTGCGATAAATTAACATCCCATTTGAGATATGGAATTCATGGGGATTCGGAATCTCTCCATTTTAAATTATTTTAAATGTGAAAAATCTGATTTGACCAAAAATATATTTTGTATAAAATACCAACATTGTGAATTTCAGACAAATTTATCTTCAATATTTCTACTACTCTTAATTCATATTTATTATAAATTAAAAAATTTCCCAGTTTGTGAAAATTGTCTAAAATTTATAAGGTGGTTACTCTACACACTGGAAAACATTTTCGGTCAACTCAGATTTTTTAAATAAATATAAAATTGAGATTTACTTTTCATGGATTCCATAACCCAATACGACATATACGTTATATACATAACTTATTATTATTTATCATAACTAAGCCCTGTAGCGTTTACATGAATATGATAGTATATTAATTAAAGGGTCCATCCACTAAAATATTTACGGTTTTCAGGGATCCATGCCAAACCTGAAAGCCGGTATTAACCGTTATTTACCAAACCTAAACAGAATCTGAACCGTTGAAAACTTTGTCACTCGCGTCTGAACCTAATCTTCTAAAGGTCTTTGAACTGGTTTGAATCTTTTCAAGCTAACTATTTTAAATATTATCAACAATAATACCATTGATAAATAATAGTACTTATTTTAAGATACATTTTATATATATTGCTATTTAACGGTGCCACGCTAGCTATGTAAGTTAGCATGCAAAATTGTTTCAACCATAAAATTTTTTTGTAAAATTAACAGAAGAGAGTCTTTTAATTACTTTAATTATATAGCTCCATATAATTTTTTTTGGAAAATAATTTAATATACTTATTTACATTATAGTTAAAAAAACTGTTTAGTTGTTAAAATTTATTAGTATAGAAAAACGTTATGCTATGTAAGGGTTTTAATGATAGAATCTTTTTTAAAAATTGTGTTCAAATAAGGTTATTTGCCAACCATTTCAAACCGATTTTTAAAAATTCAAACCGAACTGATATGATTATTATTTACGAAACGAACCTAATACTTTATTTTCATCTGAAGTCGAACCCGAACTGATATTCTTTTGTTACGGTTCGGTTCGGATCCCTGAATTTTTTAAATTCAGAAACTCTATTTCTTCAAAATAATAATTCATTGCGTTAATAATTTGGATGAATAAATTAATTTTATTAAATAAATGAATGAAAAGTTTTTGATGGATTAATATATCTATCTTGTTGATGTAAATACTCATTCGATAATTAATTTTTACTATTATCCAATTTCCGAAAGTTACCAATAAAATTTTGAATTGATATAATTTTTCATTATAAGAATAAAAAGGTTTATCTTTATAATTAAACCAAAATTATTTAATTTTACGAATCTAATAAATTATTAACTTTCAAACTCATGATACGAAGTCAATAGAAGCATATATTTATTTATTAAAGGACTCGAAAACTAAAACTTTTTTATGTGCTATTAATCCTTCTTGTATATGATCTCAGTTTTTTAGCTTATAAATAAATTTATAATATAGTTAACTGTTTCCTAACTAGTCGGATGTTATAAGAAGAAATTAAATTAATTTAGTTCAATGTTTGAACTTTTGCTGTAATATATACTAGAGGTCCCAAAGTCATCCTTAATTATTTTTTGGTTTGGGCAGGACAACTTGTCCAAAAATATTTTTAAGGGCCGGGAAAGAAGTTGACAAAGCTTAAAATCAAATTTATGCCCTTTTTATTGATAAATTTTTATTTGATTGGGTTTGGCAACTTGCAAAATTATTATACAGGATGGCCGTTAACACAGAGTTGGTTTTGTCCAGTCCATTATTCGGCATTTATTTCTGAATTTATGTCATTTTTGCGCAAGTTATTTTTAAATTTTAAAAGACCATATTATGCTGGAATTGTTTTCCAACATGTATAAAGTGCTACCCTATGAATATCAGAAAATTTGTGGTGAATTTTTTAATTACTCTTAATTTATATTCAATTTTTAATATAAATTTTAAAAAATTAACAAATTTATGATGAAAGTGTCTGAAATCCGCAGGTCAAGAGAGGTCTGCAAAGGGTGGGCTAAAATATTTTAAATGACGGGTGGTGGGCGGGGCAAAAAATATTTTAAAACAATGGGCAGATGAACTTCAAATATTTTTTGGGCGAAACGAGCAGAACAGACTTCTATAAAAATTATTTATTTTATCAGTTTAAATATTAACTCATTAAAATAAATAAAGTTCTTAACCAGCCATTAAAACAAGTTATAAACATTGAGCGGGAATTAAACAAGAGGCGGGTGAATCTAAAAAACATGATTGGGCGGGAAAGGGGATTAAAATATTGAAACAACTAGGTGCTTGTTAGCTAAAACCTGCCCATTGGAGACCTCTAGCAACACTCTATAGATGCTGGAATACAATTATTAAAATCAGGTTTTTTTTAATTAAAAAAGGCGCGCTATTAATGATTTGATTTTTGAAATTTGCTAAAAACCAGTGTCTCTGAAGCATATTCTGAATTTGCTGAACTCCATATTAATAATAAAATAGAACTTGATATGTTTTTTTTAAATAAAAAATAACGACATGGTAAAAAAATTAACACTAATGTTTAATTAAATTAATAAATCATTGCGACATTAAATCAAAAAAAAATCCATTTCATATTTCAAATGGAATTCTCGATTAAAAATTTGGATTCCAATCTTAAATGATTTTTGATCAATTAACAGCTAGGATTAAAAATCAAGTATTTAGCGTAACCATCTGGAGAGATGTTAAATTTTTAATATTTTTTAATATATTTTTCTTTAACTTTTTATTTTCAATATGATAATTTTTTGACAAATGTTTATTAAAAATGCTTTATTTGAAATATTTTGAATTTGTGATAATAGTTTTTATCTTACATTATTAGAATCGTTAATTGCCCATGAAAACTTAACTTTTAATAAGATTTCGTAAAAAATTGAACATTTATATTTTATTAGATACATCCTTGCTAATTGTCATTCTAGGAACCAGCACACAATGATATCATTATAACTAATCAGTTAAAGAGGAATAATATATACACGGATCAGATGGGAATATGAAATGTCTAACAGAATCAGAAATTGCTGGACTAGTGTCAGGAACAATATTAGGAACCAGTTTTATAACAGCCCTTCTACTTTCTATTATATTAATCAAGAAGAAAAAACCTAATTATACTTTTAATTCAAGTAATTTATTTTAAATATTCTAAATATTTTTTTTACCAAGGAATACATGATAGATTTAATTCAGATGATATAAAGCACAAAGAAACTTATGTAAACCATCGGTATTTAAATGATTTGGAGCAAAATGTTTTCGTCGATGTCCCACTCGATGGTAAATATAAATAACAGTATATAATAATATTTAAGTCAAGTATTCTATAAATTTTATACTTTCTTTGAAATTTGATACCCCAATTTACTTTAAATAATAAATTAATTATATTTAAATATAAATTAATAACATTAAAAATTACAAATATATTGAGATATATAAATGCTAAAGAGTAACATGAAAAGTATATTACATTTCAAAAATTACTTTTACCTAAATATGGCCATTTACAGTATTTTTCTCACAAAGAGGTAACAAATTACCTGTAGCTTGTTACATCTAACAAGTTACCTTAACAACTCAGGGCTAGGGTTTCTTTTCCCAAACCTTCAAGATTTATATTAAAATAAATATATTAGAATCTTTTTAGAAAAATGCTAAATAATACATTTGATCCTTATTTTTTAAAGATGAATTATTACAGAAGTTATTAATATGAAAAATATACTCTATATATAATAATTTCACAAAAAAATTTATAGATAACGATCCAAGTCAATTAGCCAAAGTAATTTAAATAGTAAATATAAACAATCTTTATCAGAGACTTGCAGAGATCAAAATTTTAGGTCCGGATGTAAAAAAAAATACTCAGCGTCCCGGATTTTCATTAAAGTTTTGTTGTTTTGAATAATTATAGCTCTTTTTAAATTATAAAATATGAACAATAAATGAATATTCAACACACAAGTTATATGATTTTCTTAATGAATAATAGATATAATTAAAGATATTTTTTTTTATAAATTTATGGTCTTTTTTGGCAAAATTAGTTAGTAATTACATTTTTTTGCCAATATTTGAAATTTGAAAAAATGAACTCCTCCCCCCTCAAGTTGAAAGAGTTGTTTGCGACGCCACTGAGCTCAGCCCGGATTTTTGAAATTATACAATTTTTTGGCCCACTCCATCCCGGATTCCAGGCAGGGGCTGCAGGTCTCTGATTTATATATATAATATAGGATTATAGTTACCATTATACAAAAGAAAAATGTTATCACTTTCCTGTTAAAAATAAATAAATAAAGACTTACAAAAATTATGGAGAAGAAAATTACAAACCGGAAAATAAGAAAAACAGCATAAATACAAGTAAATTAAAAAGATTCTCTAAGCCTTCCATATCTTTTACTAACGCCTCCAAAAAATTTTGGTATAACGACGAAAAATATAAACCGGTAAATAATTTTAATTGCATTAATTCCAAAGGAAAGGAATTGAACTGGATTGGCTATAAATAAAGTCCAATACAAAAAATAAGCTTTCTTAGAGTGGAGTTAATATTACTAAAATATAGGTCATTCACAATATATTAGAAATAGGGGAGACCGGGGATCTTATGTACTATTCTTGTGAACGCTTGTATTTTCTTCTAGAGTACTAAACTCCAATAGTTTACTATAATTTTAATATTATTCCAGGCGCATACATAGAAATTAGCTATGAAGGGAGGGGGGGGGGGTATATTTAAATATTTTTTAGAATCATTCTAGGAATTATTTAAGAATATCTATGTTTCAGAAATTTATTAAAAATAGTGATTATAAAATATTGGCAATTTCTAATATGCAAATTGATTAAGGATAAAATATTAAATGTATATAATCGGCGTATGAATGACTATAAAATAAATATTAGGAACTTTGTAAAAAAATTAAATTTTTTAAGCATTTAAAATTTGATATATAAATTTAAATAATATTTTAAAAAAAATGAATAAAAAATTTATATTAATGCACAGAAATATTCTTAAGAATTATTGCATGTATAACTTACAAAGTATTCATGAAAAAAATATGGTGTAAAATGGGGAAAATTTTATTTAGAAGCATATTATAAATATATTATTCTTTCTTTAGCTAATTTTTCAATGATTTCATAAGTGCTTGGTGCCAACTTTGTATATTAAAAATGGCTAATCCATTCAATCTATTTTCAGAGATAGTACTTTTCAACAAAGTTGTTAAAGAGCTCAATTTAAACCGATTTTTAAAAACGGTTAATCTATCCAAAAAATTATTACGCAAGTCTGAAGATTTTGATAATAGATGGCCCAAAGATTCGGAGATCTATTGGCGAAATTTCGAAGCTTAGGTAATATTTTTCTAGCTAAAATATTGAGATAGCGGTTTCTAAAAATCGGCTCAAATTGAGCCATTTAACAAAACTACTTTCCAAGTATGTTATTATTCTTATTAAAGAATAAAACGTTCTTTTGGAAGAAATATCAATGGGTAGAATTGCCAAAATATATAAGAAGATGGTCCAAAATATGTTTGAAATTATGCGAAGCATCTATAAAAATTTTGGAAAGTTATCAACCTTATTTAACTTTTTACCATAGTTTGCATTTAGCTAGAATGCTTTTTGATACTTTAACATCCCCACAATAAAAATCTAATATTTAATTTTTTCTATGATTTAAAATAGATAGATTCTACGATAATATTTCAGATTTGTAAGTGCTGCCAGATTAATCAACCTTTAATTCATTTATATTTTAAAATATCCAAGTGGAGATAAAGAGATTTATTTATAGAATTCTTCGACTGACCTTATATTAGTATTGAAAAGATGGGTTAACTTTGCTGCGAGTCTTGGTAGACAAATATTAAATTTATTGAGCTCTGCTTTTGTAAACAATGACATATAATTGTTAAAATTCATCATCTATATTTTACCTAAATTTTTTAGGTTCTAATATAATCCTTTTAGCTATTCTCATAGTCTCAATCAAATCGATGTCATTTTGGAATATTTTACTTTAGTTTTGCAGTGAAAAAAATTTTAATGATCTGATGTGAAATTCTAAAATGGTAGATAAATATAACGTCAAGGAAAATGTCAAATGGATATTAATTCATAGAATAAATTAGTAATGTATTTCTGCTGTGAATGTGATAATAAATGTAAATTGGAATATATATATATGTAAGAGTTAGGAATGATTATTATAAAATATTAATTAATAATCATAAAACAATAATCATAAAACAGTAATATTTTTGAAAAATATTTTTGCCTGCATCTGGATTTTTTGACTAGGGGAAGGGGGCTCCACTGCCTAGCCCGATTAGATCACATAAAATAACTTTAGAATTTAACCGTTACTTTTTCAAATGTAGCAATTTTTCAGATATATAAAACAATAGAGGTTTTAATTATCTAATGACTATCTTATATAAAATATTAAACAATATTCTATAAAAAATTAAACTTTATATTTCAATAAAAAATATGTTTAATAATTAAATTTTAAAGCTAGTGGCTAATTTATTTTCGAATGCTCATACGAACAATTTGCACAACAATTTTAATATTTATAATATCATCAGAGATTACTATTCTAAATTTTTAAAATAATATTATTACATAAATAAATATTTTATAAATAATATATAATTTTATACCGCATAAGCACAACCTTCAATCCTTTCCCGACATTTAAAAAAATTAATATCCGGTCTCCCCCTTATAAAATACATCATAGGCATTAATTTATTTAGGGCATCGATTTTTCAGGTCAATATGTAATTACTCAATGCCCCTATGGCTAAGTAAAATTTAAGAGCATATATTATATTTAATAAATTAAATTTACTTTTTAAAATATTACATTTGTAGTTCATATGCAGAATCCCGAAAACTGTTTTTCATAATTGGGTTTTAAAATTTTTAATTTGGTCCTGAAAAATTTTAGAATTTAGTATATTAATTTTCCGCAAAGTTTTCATTTTATTTTGCTCCCAAATTTGGTGGATACAGAAGTATAAATAAAAAGCTGGCCAACAACTTTTAACTTTTAAAAATGTGTTTAGAATTCTAGGATAATAAAAGTTCCGTTAAAGAGTCAAGATGTTACTGGATTGGGATTTAACATATGCGGCAACGTTAATGATGGGATATTTATCAAAGATATTTTAAATCGGGGGCCAGCCAAAGAAGCAGGAAAACTTAAAACTGGTAAATATAAAATAAATATAGATAACATTTTTACCAATTATATGAAATTGTAAAGTATAAGCTTATGTGCGTTGAGAAATACCATTTTTAATTGAAGGATATCCAAATATATACATCGTTTGACTCATAGGTATTTAGAATTTAGAATAGCATATGACGAAGTAATTAGGATTGGTTGATTTTTTAAAATGCAGCGTCAATTGACTCATAGAGAATTAGAATTTTGAATAATATTTGACAAAGTAATTAGGATTGGTTCGTTTTTTAATATAAAGATTGATGACACTACATTAAATAACATTAAAATTCAGAGAACTCACATAATGATTTCTAAGAAATTTAAAGTCATACCGGAGAAAACTTTTTGGAACTCAGATAGGTCGAAAATGATTTTAATTAAAATAGAGGTATTAGCATTAAAAACTTTATTCCAAAAGTAAATGGAAAAAATTGAAAATCCTCTAGGCGTACATTTTTAAATTTAAAGTTATTTAATAATCCTAATGACGAATATGAAAGGAATAATAGCTAAATAGTAGGAAAATAAGCCTGATAAGTTTATATATTGAAATGTTATGGTTAAATAAGGATGTTTAAAGTAAAAACTGACAAAAGAAAAAGAATTATGAGTAAAGAGGTTTTTTATATCTAGATTAAAAATAGAAGTTAAAGATAAAAGAAAGTTATGAAGTAGATAAAAGAAAATTAAGAGGAAGCTAAAGAGGAAATGCATAAATACTAACAAGTCACTTAAAGTGAAAGATTTATGAATGTTGATTTAGAAGATAACAGTCCGCATCAAATAATGAGCCCCTTTAATTTTGAGAAAAATATGATCTATACATGTTAAAAAAAATAGAGAATCGATTTAGTTTTTGCATGCTAGATCAACCTTGTATAATATTTAGAGACAAACAAAATTATCGAAGTTGCTCCCTCGAGTTTGGATAAAGCTTTAGATATAATTTCCATAAAACTAATTTAGTTCAGCTTTGAAAATAACGATATAACTGAACTCAAGTATTTATGGTAATCTAAGGCATATGCCAAGGGTTTATAATAAAGCTTGACTGGATTTCTCATAAATAGACCTTCATCGCAATACTTGGTCACCGTTTATGTTTGCCATTTATGTAAGATATGATATAACATTAATAAACTTTTTAGGTAATTACTTTCAGATAACCTGGGGTTTACACGCTTTTTAAGGAAAAAATGGTTGGTGTAAAAAAAATTTTAGTTATGGATTAGAAAATTCCCAATATATGAATTTATATTAGTGAATTCTAACGAATGATGAATTCATATTTATCATTGATGGGTGAAATTTTAGGCCGAGATTAAATTTAAGCTCTACTACCATGGTTAATATATATGGAATAAAATGAGGAAAAATGGTGAAGGAGATGAGATATAAGTAAAGTTCTTTAAAATTCAAAAAGTGGTTTAAAAAGGTTAGGGGCAGTGCCCACGATTTTGCATTGTTCTCCCGGCTATATTGAAATAAAGAAATGCATAGATTGAGTTATTGAAATAGCTCATTGACATGCGATAGACTATAAGTTATTTTATTAGAAGATAGGATATGATAATTTAGCTATTCTGTATAAAATTTGCGATGACCCCCCCCCCCCATCTATTTGGGGATTTTAAAGGAGATGTTAAATTAAATAAGATATTAGTTGAATATCCCATATTGGAATAAATACCATTTTTTAACGATATTATTAAATTAAATTTTATTTCATATTGGTGTTTATGTTTACTAATAATAATAAATGTAATTTTATGTTATTAGGAGATCGTATTCTATCATTAACAATATCCTTTAATAAAATGATGTATGAAGACGCTTTAACAATACTTAGTTATGGCTCTCCCTATGAAATAGTATTAGAGCTATTGAGAGAAAGGCCCCCATCTGTTATAACGCAAGATTCCTCAAAATCTTATTCTGCGTGTTTTAACGATGCTAGAACAGAAGATGACCATTGTGAAGTATATCAAAATGGATTTAATAATAACGATAGCATTTGGAGTAATAAGACGGAGAAAGGTATTTCTAAAGAGGCTCGACGTAAACAAAAAATGGATATGATAATATTAAACACTTTATACAGAAGTGATTCTCTAGAAGATTTGAGCAATATAACCGAAACAAAGGACTCACAAATTACCCCCTTCAATTTACAAATCAACGACAAATCGATCAAATCCGAAAAGCAAGCATTCATAAAAAATAATATCTATCCCTACTACGTTAAGAATGTTAAAAAATGGTTGAATATTAATAATAACAAAAACACTGGCGCAAAGCAGGAAACTGGACAAAGACAAAAGATAGAGTTAAGAGTGAACAATGCTATTGATAATTCAAATATCAGCGGTATTTCAGACTATAAAAATATATCAACTGTATCACTCAACGATTATTTGTTGACTAGAGATAATGATGATCACAAAATTTTGCAAACTAACGAGAGTAACTTAGGAGTTAATGATTTAGAAAAAATAGAATCAAGTCCAAATCTATATCATGAAACCAAAAATATTAACAAAGACTTAATGCACGATGATGTTGACATAGATAACGCCATCAAACTTTACGGCAAAAACAGAAAGGATAAAAGAAATTCGGTGACTCATTTATTGGAAGACAAATATAGAAGAGCCAAACTGAACATCAAGAAAAAGTTAAGCAGTACTTCTGATTTAGCTAAATTCGACGCTAAAATTAATTCTGATGCAGCGAATTTTCCTACAAGTTACGTTGCTTTACATCAGCCAAAGTTAGTGAGGAACAATCGCAGTTTGGAGGATATATATCAATTCTACATAAACAAGCTCCTTAAATCCCTCAAATCAGATCTAAACAATAAAGGAAATCTACAAAGGTCAATTTCTCTTTCAACAAAATCTTCGCCCTTAAAAGTTAAAGAGAATAAAATACATAGAAATTCCAATATTTTGGATTATTTAATGAATGACAAAGATTTCACCGATATGGAAACAAGATTTCCCAAATGCACCTTTTACAAAGTAAACTATGATTCAAATAATATTTCAAACGATAATTCGAAGAAATTAACGATTAAGGAAGGTAGCGATGTAATTGGCGAGTTGTCAATCCAAATTAATGATTCCGTAAATGTGATAAATGATAAAAAAACTAAACCTCATGTTGCATTTAAAGAATTTCTTAACCGAAAAAATGATTCTGTTACCCCTAAAAATAACGCTCCTTCAAACTATGAAAACCCGGGAATCAATGATTACGATATAGAATTTCCAAGTTCTTCCTCATTCATGATAGATACTATAGCTAGTTTTGATATTTTATTTGATAATCACCTTTTAGACAATCATGTAAATGGATTTCATGTGGGTAGTTTCCCAAGAGAAATGGCCAAAAATAGAACTCATCAGAAGAATTTATACAAATCAGATGAGCAGGTAAACATTATACATGAATGAAACTTAAAATTTGCCAAATTAAATAAATTAGGATCATTAATCACTTGGGGAGCTTGCAAATAATATAGGTTTTATATATTTTAAAATATTCAACATTTTAAAGTCGAATTTAACTTGATCCGAAATTTCAGAATTGATTTGCTATATATATATGTCTTTTTTTCTCAATATTATATAAATCTCAATCTTAAAGGTCATTGTTATAATAATCATGGTTTAAATTTTTACTTTGCTGAATTTAAATAAATCCTTGTCATATATATTAAAAATATATTAAACACTAATTTTTATCATATTCAATTGATTTAAATTAAAATAATTTCTTCTCGTAATATGATCATTTCTCTAATTCATTTTATTTTGCATTTTCTTATTTTAATAGGAATTTATACTTCTTAGATTATTAACATCATAACTTGGTTTGGTAAAAAAAAAAATATCAAATCTATAAGAGAGTGATTCTATATATTCTGATCAATAATGTTTATATTTATTTATCACTTTTAGATATATAGAGCTGATTCGGAATATAAAGAATGTACGCCTACTCTTAGTGCACGTAAAGATTTAGATTCTTCCCACCATCATGAAAAATTATTTGTTGCACAGAACACATTTCTGGAGGAAAATGAAAATAACTCATCAAGAACTTCGATGAAAACTAAACCATCAGCAGATATAATTAGTAATAGATTAGCCCGTGTCAATCCGGATTTTAATAGTACAAATATTAAAAATAATTTTGAAGAAAATGATGACCCAATATTAATTGAGATTTCTAAAGAAAATAAAAATTTTATCAAAGAATCAAATGCTAGCATAAAAATTACAAATGGCTCAAACGAATCTACACCTCTTAAAGTTATCGATAATAATATTAGAACCATGTTTAGCCCTCATTACACAGAACCGGAAAATTTAATCATGGATGGAAGTTCACAAGAAAGCGATCAACCTATGAAAAAATATTTTCCAGATTCTAACAAACCTTCTTACGATGCCAAATATGTTTTCGATGACTATTTAGAGAATATTTGTAAAATCAAAATTAGCAATAGTCGATCCGATTTACAAATTCCCATATACCAAGCCGGATCAAATAATTTTGAAATTAAAAGTGCTGATTATTTTTGTGATTACACCGGAAAAGTGTATCCTTCACTATCAGAAAATGATGAATCATATGTGAATAAATTATTCTACGATGCTTCCAAAAAGACAGAACCAACATACAGCGAATATTTATACTGCACCACGGATGAAGCAGGTAATGGGAATAATGTAAATTCGAAAATACTATATGATGTCCCCAATATTGAAAATAGAGGTAGCATGCATATTTTCGAAATATCTAAAGCTAATTATAGATCACCGGGAGAATATGGGTTAATAGTGACTGTTCCAAATATGTCGGCAACCTATCATGACCAGTTATTAAGAATAAATAAACGTATAGGCAGTAGTAATGATAGAGATCATAATTCATCCATATATTATTCGTCGAACAAATCGTATCCATCCGAAGCCCTGTACGAACATTCTTCGAGAGATTTGATGACTTCTTACCAAAATAAGCACAAATCCGCTATCCTAAAAAATTATTTAAACAATGCCAAAAATGATATACCCAGCAAATTTCTCGACGATTATTCGCCCAAAAATAGGGATGTCTACGATTTCAATCACCAATGTCGCATAGCAGACATAAAGCCTACTCAAACTTATTACATGGGAACAAAATACGATGTTAGACACAGAGACAAATATCCTTCATACGAAATTCCGGTTTACTGCAAAATTATTGATTTTAAAAATCACATCATCGATTCTAATCTGCACAGGGGGAGACCTTCTTTAGGGGATCAAAAAACGAGAAAAAATAGTAAGGTCAAGTTATTTAAGCGAGTTAGCAAATATTCTCACGATAGTTTGCAGAGAAAAGAGCTCAAACGGGTAGGCATCGGTAAGGCTAGACCAGCGGAAAACTTTCAGAAATTTCCGTCCCTCAAAATAAAATATGATCCTACTAATAGCATAAGAAATTCTAAATATAAAAAAATCAGGAGGATAGACAACATCTATTTTAAACATTATAATAGATTTACTGATGAGCGTTACCCTATATATTCTGATATAATTGATTTCCCACATTATGATGATTTTCGTTCCTTGGATATCAATAGGAATGATCAAAATGCCTATTTTGGCTATAGAATAAATACACCAAACACAAACATAACCAAATATCACATTGATAATTATACGCGTTAAATCAATTTAAATAATTATATTAACTATATATATAATTTGTAATATTAATACTTCTAAAAAATGTATATTAATATACTTTTCTAAGGAAAATTGGTTGCATTGAAAAGTTGTAATAAATAGTGTATAGGTTATAGCTAAGCTATTTAAAATTTTCCATAGATACACAGCGGTCAGGATTATAGTTGGGTAGTCGTCTTTCCTCAATTTTTTATTGGCTATGACTCAGCCGTAGCTAGTCGGTTTAATTTGGTTATGCCTAGACTTAGCCGATTTATTTTGACTAAGGCTTACTTTAAATCTTTTTTTAATAAGGCTTATCCTGAGCCGATTTTTTTTTACTAATATTAAGTCTTTGCCAATTTCATTTAATAATTATCAACATCTTCATTTTTAAAATATTTTGGTTATTTATTAATATAAATATGTTTTAAAAAATCAATCTTTCAAATCTATTTTAGTATATTAATAATTGCTAATGTATTTGAGAAGAGTGACATGATTGTCATTACATTTTTGTTCATGGAAACAGGTAAAAAATAAATAAATATGTTAAATATGATTTAGTATATTTTTATTTTAATTATAATTTAAAGTGTGAAAATTGTCCTAATCCTCATTTTTAAACATCTATAGTTTTTTTTATGGAAATAAAAATTTATCTAAGGTGGCCTTCTCCGTCAGAAATATACCATTACCCAAATATAGTGAGGACTATTTGCTTATGCATTGAGTGAATTGTAATTATACATTAATTTTGCTTTGCTTAATATTACCTATTAGAGTCATTTTTTACAAATTATTTATATTTTACTATAAAATATTGTAGAAATATTATTAACCAACCACTGCTTATTCAGGAATCCTATTTTAAAAATGACGAACATAAATAAAAATTAAAAAATAAATGAATAATTTTTTTTTTCTTTAATATCAATTGCATAAGTATAAGGAAGGATATTTAAGAAAATGAGCAACTATAAAGTAATAAAAATAAAACGAATATTTTTAATTATGAATTTTATTGCTATTTAAAAATCAATTATTAAAATTATTCGAATGATTGTTTATAAATATTCAAAAAATAAGAATAATTTATATTTGTTACTATTCTACTTAATTCGATTTAGACTTTCTAAATGAATCAAATATATGAGTTAGAATAAGCATACAGTAGAGTCGATTGTCCTTATCATTCAGGCAGCTATAAAGTCAATTTTTTTTATATTTTAGCTAAACAGCTTATAAATTTAGTCATAATTTGGTGTCTAAATAAGAATTCACTTGCATTATAATTACCGAATTAATTTTTAAAAAATAGACATTAATAAAAAATATATCTATATACGTAAAATTATAATATAAAAATATAAATGATGATTATGAAATAGAAAGATTTTCAACCTCTGTTACTATTGATCCCATTTTGGTTATTGAAACAAAAAATTTTTGGTCTGGTAAATATTCAACTATTGGGCATTCAAAATCATAGCTTAATAAGTTATTCGTAAAGTAAGGTTTAGGGGTTACGCTTCTAGATCCCGGTGTGTCCTCTTCCGTTTTACTACAGCGGCAAAACACTTTCATTCTGACTTGATTATTTTCGCCATTATCGGAGATATAATATTTAAAGTTTTTCACGCTAACCTTGACATGTATCTAAAAGAAAGTTTTATTAAAGTTTTGTTAAAATAAAAGGCATTAAATACATATTATAATTACTTGATGGACTATTTGTGTATTATTTATGTCCAACGATGCCTCGACGTAAATCTTTTCATCATTCTGAGATAATTTTAAGCATATAGAATTTTTTGATCTTACACTATCGTTAATAATAACTTGGGAAGTTTGATCGATAGGAAGAGATAGAATATCTTCAGATCTTATCCTTATTTCAATTATTCCGCAATCATTTTTATCTGATCGTTCAGCGTTTGTAGAATTTGAGTTTTCAAACCTAACTATTCCTGATAGAATCAACGGTTTTCCTTGTTCAGCTCGGTATTCTCTTTTTGTTTGAGCTATCCCTTTGCTAAGGGGATCCTCAGGCTTAAGAAATATGAATTTTTCATCGGTTATTCCTATAGGTCCACGTAGGGTCCATAGGGAAGAATCCCAAAGTGACATATTTATTAATTTAACAAGATCTATTGGGTTCATTTCCTCAGGGCCGGTTTCTTCCTCTATTTCTTCCCGTCTTTCTTCCAGTCTTTTTTCCTTCGACTTGTAGCCCATAGGTGTTCTATCAATCCTAAATAAGAGAGGATATGTATCTTGCAAATTCCATATTGGTTTAATGTTAAGATCCAAAAGATAACCTTTTCCAGCCAAATCTCTTCTAGCCATAGCGGCAGAATTGCCATAATTTGTATAGTTGAAATCATATGGAACATTGCCATAATTTGTGTAGTTGAAATCTTTTGGAACATTGCCATGATTTGTGGAGTTGAAATCATTAGAGGATTGACTCAAAGGAAGTAAAAAATTCAGGTCGATATTGGGGTATTGGGTAAGGAATAGTCTCCGTCTGTTAAGCATGAAATAGTCTATATTTGTAGATATAAAAAAAGGAAATTAACTTTTTATAATAAAATTACATTATTAACGATATATAATATGCCTATTCACATCACGTTAAATTTGAAGACTTGACGTGATAAATAAATGCATATTATATTATATTTTTACGATTTTTATATGAATAAAAACTTAAATGTTCTTTATAAGGATTTATCCAAAATTTGTTTCAGAACTCTAAATATTTTATAACTTTAAGGAAGACCAGCCCAGTGTACACGAGGGAGGGGGGGGACTAGGCTTCAACCGAAGCTTCCAGGCTACGGAATAAATTTTAAAAGATTGGTCACATTTTAATTTATTGATATTTTGGAAACAAAGAATCTAATATAATTTTTAAACAATTTATAACTATCTACTAGAACTCATTTCAGGTCCGTGAAGTTGGCCCCACACTTTTTGATTTTCATTGGTTTATCAGTTAGACTATTTGTACCCGATTTGTACCGTTTTCAGTTCGATTTGTACCATCACCGTTTTTGAGATATTCAAAGAACAAAATGGAAGGCCAACTTCACGACAGCCCCCCAACTTTTGAACTTAAAAATAAAAAGTGCATAGGTCGATAGAGAATGATTTGTACCGATTTTTACCGTTTTCAGTTCGATTTGTACCATCACCGTTTTCCAGCTATTGACCGTTAAAAATATGGCGCCAAAAATAAAAAACACTCAAAAATTTTTTTAAAAAAATTTTTTAACGTACAACGATAGAGAATTTATTTCTCTTCCTAATGATGCCTCAAATTAAGCTTTATCTTCATTATTTATTTCGGTAATCAAATTTTAAACCTTATATTATAGCGTGAAGTTAGCCTCCCCCCCCCCCCCCCAATATTCAAAATTTGAGATTTTTCAAATTTTTAAAACGGGATTGATTTGTACCGTTTCAAACTCGATTTGTACTATTACCGTTTTCCAGCTAATGACCGTTAAAAATATAGCGCCAAAAATAAAAAACACTCAAAATTTATTTTTTTAAAACTTTAATTGATATAAAAACAATGCCAAATTATATCAAAATTGATCAAATTATTTACACCCTTAGAGGTGTAATAGCTTATGAAGGCAATGAGCAAAACGATCCAAATATTTTAGGTCATTATATCGCTTATTGCCTACGTCGCAATAATATGGGAGGTTTTTAATAATTTAAAAGTTAAATTTTTTTTTTAATATACCTAAAAAAATTCGACCGCATATACACTATTTGATATCCTATCATTATTGTATTGAAATCTATTCTCAATTTAAATTTTTATTATTTTTTATAATTTGATATACGTGATACGTGAAATATAGCGCATATGCCCTCTAGACGTTGAGTAAACAACAGAGCTACGCTAGGTATTCCTCACTTCCATCTAATTGGAAAAACGAAATTAATTTGGGTACGAAAGTAAAAAATGTGAGTATAGATTTTATAAAAATATGTATTAATTTATTTTCTAACTATATAAAAAATAGCATAATAATTTGGATTTGTATAATTATCATAACAATAAATGATTTATTATATATAAAATTTGGATAACAAAATACATAAATATGTTATTACGCTCCGTTTTAAGAGCTTATAATGCATTTTAGATGGTATTGTGCTAATTGGATTTTTTACTGTAAGCGTTAAAAAAAGCTAACTGGTTTGATTTATTTTATAATTTTGCGCTAAAATTGAAAATGTATACAAAATTGTATGTATAATTTATCTCATATATTAATTGATATTATATCCTTTAGGAATATATTAATTTATATAATTTTAGAATATATTAATTTATATTTATATAATTTTAGAGTATAGTAATTTATATTATATCATTTTATAATATATTAATTGATATTATAACATTTTACAATATAGGATAAGGTTACCAAAAAATTAGTAAATATTTATGAACAATGATAAAATAAATTACGGTTCCATGTCAATTCAGCGAAACTTTTATCGCGAATGAATTTTATAGCGAAACTTTTATGCGAATCCATAATAGCGAATACTATTCCGCGAATGCAATATCGCGAAATAAATATCGCGAATTTTTTATAACGAAACCTTTATCGCGAAATCTGGATAGCGAATACAATATCGCGAAACAAATAGCGCGAATTTTTTATAGCGAAACCTATCCTTTAATGCGAATACATTACCTCGAAACTTTTATCGCGAATCAATAATCTCGAAAATTTTATAGCGAAACCTTTATCGCGAAAATTTTATAGCGAAACCTTTATCGCAAAAATTTTATAGCGAAACCTTTATCGCGAAAATTTTATAGCGAAACCTTTATCGCAAAAATTTTATAGCGAAACCTTTATCGCGAAACCTTTATCGCGAAACCTTTATCGCGAAACCTTTAAAGCGAATACATTACCGCGAAACTTTAATCGTAAATCAATAATCGCGAAAATTTTATAGCGAAG